TGGGTTATCCTCAACAAGAGCTAGACAGGTTCCTTCAAGTGAAAATAAGATACTGAAATTTTACATCCACAGACTTAATACCATATTTATCAGGTCCTCAATCCTACAGTATAGCTTGCGTCCTCAGTAAGATAAAAAATCAGAGCTTCTCAAGAATTCCTTCATGATCGTCAAGTCCTTAAGATTCAGTGACAAATTCTAAAAATCTCAACTAATTCTCAGATAATATATCTAGCTCCTCCTTCTAAAGTTGTAAAATAGAACAAGGCAGTGACAAAGATGACTTCTGTCAGACTTCTATCTCCTGTCCTGGACAAATGGAATACAAAATTCATCCAGAAGCTTCTAACACAGACCTGTTAAACTTGTGGATTATTAACATTTTGGTTGTCTTTCTAATACAGTTACATGGAGGGTAAATCACATTTTCTTCTCACAACTTTTATAAAAATAAAAGCTTCTGTAGTACATAGGCATTAAAACAACTCCCCATCTCCTGTCACATATTGCCTGTTCTTACCTTTTAGATTTATCTACCCTCTCTTAGTTGAAGTCAGCTGATCTGAAGGAGATATGAAACACAGTTTAGATGTGTTGTGATTTTGCCTAGAAAGAAGTTATTCAGAATCTCTTGGATCTTGTTCATCTCAAAGAAGTTCTGAAGATGTTTCCAAAACAAATATGTATCAATGAGTATGTACAGCTGCAGCTACTGAATTGCACTGAAAGATTAAAAGCATCCTCCTTTCTGTGTAGACAAATACTTTATAAACTTCATATCTATATAGAGGCTAGAGCTGAAAGGAACATCTTATAAAGTGATGCTAAGAGGTAAAACTTGGCAATATCAACACATAGAATTTCTGCTTGAAGTAGGCGGAGGTAACTAACTCTTCTAATGATCTGATGGTGCATGCTTCAGGTGTATTTAAACAACGTACAGTTAGAAGAAAGACAGTAGTAAAGAATCTAGGAGGAGTTTCAGGTGATAGCTATATTGAATCTTATCTAACCCATTTCTCTCCTAAGCACAGATTGGTATTGAGGGTGGAGAAGGAGGGGAAGAAAGAGGGCAGCATTCAGTCTGCTCCCGAGCAAGGAGTCAAATGAACTGATCGATTTTCTGTCTTTCCTTGAGCACCAGCTTAAGAAATTTTGCCTTGCTCCAGAGCCTCAAAGATCTCCCCACAAAAACAGGGCTTTGCTAGCATTTAAAGCTGTTCCATTGCATTTTACCTCAGCTGAACATAGTCTGAAGAACATCTACATCAACATCTAAGAACCACCAGCCTAGTTCCTCCAATTACACCTGCTATCCGCAGCTCTGCTGTTTAGGACCATTCATGGAAAGACACCCATAGTCTTCTCATGTAGATAAATCTCCTCTGTAGAATGCAAATTTTAAATATCTTTTATGTGTTACTGGAATGGTATGCAGGGCTGGAGTCTAAACCAAATCATAGGCTTTAAATATTCATAGCCACATTAAGTTACCTATACAGCATTCAAAGTAAGTTCCATCTGTTTTTTGGTCATATAACTATGCTGATGCCAAACTGCCAGAATGCAAACCTTTTTCACAGAAGAAAAGAAAAAAGAATAAAAAGTTTGCCCTTCCAGCTCTCTATACTTACACAGGATCAAATATACATAGGCTGTAAGCTGCAGAGCTCCCCCTGACATTGTTAGATTCCAGTTTCTTTACCACACTAACATTTAGAATTTTTTCCAACTATCCAATCTCATCTGCTATAAATTGAACTGATTCTTTCTCATCAGCAAAAAGAACAATCCCTTTAATAATCTTTTATATACTATAGGCGACACAAACTTCCTCTCTTCTGCTGTTGCTTTCTAAATTAACACCTGTTATGCACTGCACTTTCTAACCACCTTCTCCTCTTGCCATTCTCCTACACACCTCTACATCTAAGTTTTCTGTGTAAAACTGGACACTGTATACAGCAGAGACCTCACATGGCTCTGAGCAACCTGATCTAGTTGAAGATGTCCCTGCTCATTGCAGGAGGGTTGGACTGGATGATCTTTAAAGGTCCCTTCCAATCCAAACCACTCTATGGTTCTATGATCAGCTGCAATGAACAGGAACAGCTGTTAACTCTCAAATCACCTTTTCAGTTGAACCTCTAATCAACTTTTCTGTAATTAACTATAAAATGAGTCTTAATTGTAAAGTTGTTGCATGCTTCCTTCTCCCACAGTCAGTAACTCCTCACTTTGTTTATCTGATATGCTTGGGTTTTTTTTCCTTAAGCAGGATTTCTGTTTTCAGTGACAGAGTAAAACACATACAAATAGAAAGAGATGATCGAACTCTCGATTTATTTATTACTAACGATGAGAGGATTGAAAGCAGATCAAGTTTACAGAGTCCAGACTGCTCTAGCTGGGAAATCAATTGGGAAAAAAAAAAAAGACTACCCTGACAGCTAGGCACATTTGATATAAATCAGACACTAATCAAAAAATCCTACAATGCTGTCCTTGTAGAGTTTAATTTTAATGTAAAGACACACTTTCAGCCCTCCAGAAAAAGCCTTCTGCAATAACAGAAGAGAATTTGTCTGTGATGGAGCTAAGAGTGGCAAACAACAGGGAAGATGCCAACGTAGCTTAGAAAACCATATGAAGTAGCTGAGTCTCACAAGAAACAGACACCACTCAAAATGCACCTTACATGATGAATCAAACCATCCTAATCTAAAACCACTTAAACTTTTTTTTTATACCACCCTCTTGGTGTATTAAACTGTATTTGTACCTCTGCTGGTAATGTGAACTCCTGTTAAAAATATACACTGATTATCTATTTATATGCTAAAATCTCTTGCACTCTCTTTGTTAATCTATTTTACTGGTGTCATACATTATAAATGCACTGCAAACCTTTAGAATGAGAGAGCCACTTGCAGAGAAAGCACCAGAAATCTTTAGGTAAACTTGATGTTGGCATCTGCTATTCGATTACAAAGAGGCAGTTTGTCTAGTTAGAGCAAACGATCACCAAAGAAAACCTAAACCATAAATATTAAACTGGTAGGAGGATGAACCAAATGTTATTTTGCTATTTCAGGTATCGTTATAGTGAAAATCTGGATTTTGATAAAACTTTATTCTTATTTCAAAAAAGGTTAAAACATCTCTTTGGCTGGCAGTCTCATGCTTTGGCCCCATGCTGTCCTTTGCATTTGTCCTTGCATAACAAAGCATTCAGATGCCATAGGACCTTAGAGCCACCTACAAAAGGCTGGGCTGAACAATATAGCCTTAGATTGTTTCTTCATTTTGGAGATTCACTTACAGTATTACACATTTTGCAAGAACTCTTAATAGGCACTCAGTCGTAAAACTGCAAGAATATCAATTTGGAAAGACAAAACAAAGTCTATACCTTCCTATCATTAGGCAGAAAGAAGCAGACTTCTCTTGCGCTATAATCTGTCATACAGTAGAAGTGTCATGAACAGTCCTTGAGACCTAACAGATACTTTGAGACTTTACTCAATCTTTCAAAGTGATAAAAATGGCTACATTGCACTCCCTATGCTTCTTGTGCTATAAGCAACAGAAATCCATTTAATCTATTTTGCATATTACAATAATTCTTTACAATCTTCTTCATGTAAGTTACGGTCAGGGAAGGAAACTAGAAGATTTCATCACTTTTGGTAAACAAAAGGAAGATGATTGTTCTATGAAAAAGGCAATCACCCTTTCTGAAAGTAAATTCCAGAGGTGCAAAACCAAAACTACGTGTAGCACGTAAACATACCTGCAGCTCAAAACCCTACAAATTCTACCCACTCCCAGGAAGAAACCAAAACCAACCAAACAAAACCCAACCAAAAAACCCCACTCAAAAGGCAAATTTTGGTTGAAAATCAAGACCTTTGAAATAGCCTTGACTTCAACACTTAGACAGAAATTATTTTAAAAGTATCTATTGCATTAATTCTGTGAATGTTAAACAACAATTATTCTCGTCCCCTGTACCTCTATCATTTCAGAAGTATAAATTATCAAATATTACATGTGTTATGTCAAAATTTCCCAAGAATGCATGTATATATGCATATAAATTATTTACCTGTAGCAACATGACAATATAAATTCTGCATCTAATTCATCGCTAAAAATCCCCTGTAACTGAAACAGGATGTCAAATATACCTTACTTTCCACTGCTTCCCAACCAACACTGAAAAATGTGCTCTGCCAGTGTAAAGGCTCATCATGTTAGGACCAACTGTGGAATGCACTATCATTCCAGTTAAAAAGATGCGAATTTTTTCCCTCTTTCCTTTTCCTCATAGTAAGTGGTAGACTTGTGCACACTAGCAAGAACATTTTCAGCTAGTACTAAACTTAACTGAAGAGATAAAAAAAAAACAAAACAGAAAAAGGTTTGATACAATTTCAAGTCTGGCTCAGAGCTCACGAGGTTGAACTTTATTTTAGAGGAAAATACAACGCTGAGATGAGGACCACTAGTCTTGCTATGAGGTAAAAATTAGCTCATCTGCTTATATACTTGAATTAAAACAGGTAGTAGAGAAAGAAAATATCAGCTGTATGAAATCAGACACAAATAAAAGAGATTCTACGTGTTAAGATAACTGTCAGTAACATAATTATCCAGTAATCTCCTACTTCATATGCAGGTCCTCCTTAAAGAAAGAGGGGCAACATTGTGCATACAACTCCTTCATAGAAATACCACGATCTGTTACCTCTGATGACTGCTCTTGTGCCCTTTACATATGTGCTCACTGGACATTAGTTCATGAACAGAAGTAGGTAAAAAACAATGTGGTTTTAATAATATTTGTCTGTATTAAAGACTAACAACTTGGCAAGCATATTACCACTAAAGCACTAAGTGTACTTCATCATACTACTACTTTATATAATTACAAAACTACTCACAAGGATATAATGAAGAAGCTTTTCTTTGCTTAGCAATAAGAGCCAGATACTCACAAAGAAGGGTCTTGGACCAGATCTTTAAGGTTTATCCCACTACGATCCTCGGCAAGGTTCCTGAAGCAACTGTCACTCACTAAAAAAAATAGAAAGAAAATTAAAACAAAACAAAAACAGAGAAACAAAAGAGGTGGAACTTTAAGAACAGAACAGTTCTTTTGATTATCTAGAAACGCTTTTTGGTGTTGGGTGTAAATTTGAAAGTTCATATATAAATTCTGATTTTCAGTGAGGTTTCACCTAATTTAAAGGGAAGTCAACTCAATGGAAAGTGATAAACACTGCATCACAAATTATGTGGAAACAGTCAGTTTCGGCTGGTGTCCTCACTCTTCTCAACCTGTGGCTACAGGAAGTCTCAAACGCAAACACTGTATGCGCAAGTATACACAGACACCCACACGCTTAACAGTAGTGTGTTTAATCATGCACCCGTCAGTATTCTCTACCTGATCAGAAACAGTGAGAGTTGCTATGTATTTCAGTTCAGAGTTAGTCATGCGTTAGCAGAGGTGTTTAATATGAGCAAGGGCCATAACAAACAATTAAGAGCAAAAATTTATTCAAACAGCTTATTATTAACCTATGAAGCACATGTAAGTCAGCTAGTTTCTGTAATAATTGAAATTACAACACAGTAAATTTCACAGATGTTTAAAAGAGTATTAGTGTGCTTTCCTTTTCTTCACTAAATTAAAGAAAAAAAAAAGGCAATTTAAACCTGAAGCTCCAAATCCGTACTCTTGGCTAATTGTCTCAGCACATGTACCCCATTCCCCCAAGTGGGCTCACTTCTCTTAAACAACGCCACAGTCAATTTGAGAGGTGGGAAAAAAGCAGTGGCACAAATGCTTTTCAAAAAACAGCATCGGTTCAAAGGAATTACAGTTGTTTCTGACTACAGCAAACTTTCTGAAGGACACAGAGGTTGCACTATGGCAAAATCAGTGTAAGGATCAATTTGCAATAACTGGCAAGGTAATCTGCCAGAGAGAAGAGAGCTTATGAAGAAACGCCTTACTGCTCATCTTCCAACACAGAACACGGCCTCGCATTTGGTGAAAGGGGATGTGTTTAAAATTATCTGCAAAAGCAAGTGTTCCTACTACGTTCTCTCTAAATGCAAGATACTCTTTTTAATTTGCATCTGTAAGTATTCATGTACATCACCAGCATTGAAAGAATGCAAATCATTCCCAAAATATGTTATTTTCACAGATTACGATACATACTGTGACAGACCTACCTAACACACTACAAAACTGCAAAATGTTTCTATCAGTACCCCTTGTTGCCAATGAATCTCACGAGCATGAAGCCTGTTAGCCTGCTGGGAAAGACAAGTACTGGAAGAAGAGGTCTGAGAAGAAGGGGCTGGGGTAGCTGACAGAACAGGTACTGGCCCCAGCTCTCACGCAAAGCCTGACAGCAGGGTATGACAGTAACAGCAGTATTTTAAAGTGTTGATAACATTATGTTTACCCACTTTTCCCCTCAATACCATAATAACCAGTTGATATCCTAAACCTCTCTTATCTGCCATCTCTGCAAATGCTACCTAACAGTTGCTTGCCACACGCCATCCCTGAAAGCCGGGCTGTATTATCACAAGGAGCCTCTTCTCTTTGAGGTAATTGCCACGGATCTTCAGTTTAAACAGCAGCAACTTGTGCTAACAAAGTCCAGAACCCCCGGCTTGTTCCTCCCAAGACAATTTAATCATCATCTCAATACTAAACTGAAATTTAACTGTACTGAGTTCACAAGAGCTCCCTAGCTCACCTTGAACATCCCCGGCCTTCAGAAATTTTTCATTTCCATGCACGTCTATTGCACTGAACCCAAGAGCCCTGAATTTACAAAGTCTCTAACTCCTGAGCTAAAGGAGCAGTTCCAAGATCAGCAGACTCCCAAAACAACCTACACTCTAGATTTTATGGGAGAAAAAAAATCCCAGCTAACTTGGTATTTGATAGTTTATATTTACTCTTGTCAAGTTTGGCAACAAAACAGTAAACAGAGCATTTTACCTACTGTCTTGTCGTAAATCCTAGACTAGTCATGTATTTCCTACGCCAACACTATACATCATAAATAAAAATGATGGTCGATAATGTTTTTTCACTACTGACAAATCAAACATTTATTAAGTATTAAATATTTAATCTAAACATGCTGTATTTTTTCTACTGTTTTTGCCAATCTTCTCATTGAAAGTAATCACAATTGTAATTGAAGAAACTACTGCGAACTTTTTAACAGGGAAAAATTAAAAACAACATAGAATTATTTTATCAGTAAAACTGGCCATTATTTGTCTATATAACTCATTAACTTTATTAAACAAAGTGTTTGAAATAAATGTTTAAAATGAAAGCCTGTATTTGCCAGAGACTCTCTTTGTCTTATATGTCTCAGCATAACTCCAATATTGCAATACCTTTTTATGAATGAAGCTGAAGATTGCAAACCTTCCCCCTAGTTAGCAGAGCTGGGCAATACAAGGTTTTCCTAAAAAGACTAACTAAACAGCAGTCAAATATCTACAAACTTTGGAAAAGGTATCAACCTCATCTTCCCCCTCTCCCCCTTGATTGTAGGAGAGTCAGAACTTGGGGAAGCTGCAAATTTGCAAGCAAGCCTAATCTTAGGTTACTGTCCTAGCCTGAATCAGAAAACATAGATGCCTCAGATAAATGTGAAAAATTTCAAACACAGTTTTAACAACCAAGAATTCCAACAGTTTAATTAATATTCACCAAAATAAAATTTCTGAAGACTAACATTTGACTATAGTTGTCAATTAAATTACTAGCACTGGTAGCAATAGGAGAGCTTCCAGTGAGAGGAAATAATTCAGTGGAATGGGCTGGAATAAGACCTCTTACAGGAAGACTTTAGTGCACTTTGCTGACCTGCATAAAAGCACAGCCACGCTCCCTCCCATCCTTGCAAATTCCAGCCCAGGAAAGAAAAGAAATGTTCAGCAGTAAACATGGGGTAGACGCAATCAAGCAGAGTAGGTACTATATTTCTCACAGCTTAGAAAACCATAAATCAACACTGCATGTATTTTAAAAAATGGTATACTCTGATTGAAATACAAGCTATTTATTTTAAACAGGACATAGGGTGAAACTATGTTTGATGGTATGGCAGAAAGACCAGGATGATCAATGGCGCTTTAAGGTTTGCGGGAAGAAAAGGCAGAAGAAAACTTTGCATCACAGCCACAAATTCTACTACATACACAAAGGCCATGCCTAACTTCTTGTCTTTAAAGCCCAACCAAGGGAGACTTTTGCATAGGACATCTATATGAACACACTCTCAGAGCAGGATTTTATTGTCTGGTTTCAAAATATAGTTTTTATTTTTTAACACCCCCCCAAGTTTATAAAAGCTGGTATTTTAAGCAGTGTTGAGTGCATGGTTTATGGAGAGATGCAGAATTGTTAGCAGCTTCCCTCTGTGTATAGACCAAGTGGCTGAGCTTCTGATCTGTATTACACCCCTCACATTCTCCTTATAGAAAAGGAGAATCACAACAAAAAAATCTCCCTAAAAAACATCTGCTCCAGGGAGTACTGCACATACAATGACAGTCTATAAGGTACTAGAAACATTTTTTAAGAAATTAAATATTAGCACAACTATCATGGGCATTGACTGAACCACCCCTACTGTTACATGTTTCAAAAGTGAAGAGGTTTTAGGAATAGCTCCAATTCTCCCAACATTTGTCCTACTTCCAGCTCCTGGTTTCTACTACTGATGTTCTGTTTCTGACCCCCACCTAGTCTTATGCTTAGGAAGCACCAGGGATGGGAAGCCAATAAGGGAATATAGTTCTCACCTGCCAATTACACAGCATACAAAATTCCCTATGAAAAGGTTAAAATCAGCATTCACACTCTAATGTGCAAACATCCAGTTTACAACATTTGTGAAGCCTTCCCACTTGCCATTTGTGAACTTCTAAATCTGTCCATATGATTTTTTTTTCTTTGCTTTCTTTAACAGTTTTAAATGAGACCATACTGACAGAAAATGGAGTATTAGCCTGTTGATTTCCAAAATAAGAAGTAGAAGAGATGTTCAACTCTGAAGGTAAACTAGTATTTTCTTCAAGTGAAGGCAGAATATAGTCTGTTATGAACTAAATCCTTTTTTTTTTTTAATGCCCTACAACCTGAAAACAATATAGCATTTTAAAACTGTCACTTAATCTCTTATCCCACGCAATGTATTCCCAGTAAACAAAAGCTGCTTTAGATCAAACCACTTCCAATTCTACAGCTGTTAATGGTCATTTTCATATCATATGCTTTAGGAAAAATGCAATCATTACCCTCAAAAATTGAAGGGCTATCTATAGTTTCATAAAGAAAATTAATAATAATGTTTACCTCCCCAATATCAAAATACACAATTCCAGAAAACTGGAAACTACTATTACCTGCCAGATTTCCCTCTTGGTTCTCAGAATTCAGAACTGGTTTTAGACTAGTTGTGGTTACCTGTTGATAAAAACCATCCTGATAACAAAAATGCTATGCTCAGAAAGACAGTCATTGATAATGGTGATGCGCTATTACTTTGAAAATACACGGACTACTACAACATTGCAGTATGCACTGAAGTATAAGGTATCAATTTCCTACATTTTTGTCTTTTAGTGATAACTTCTCTCAAGTTCATTTCTTTTTCTCAGGAATTCTTCATCTATCCGTAGTATTTTTGGCATACTTCCCATAGCAGATCTCCCTCCCTTACCTCTCTTTATAGGATCATTTGTATGTTTAGGTTTTTATACCAGATTCATTCAGCAGCTGATAAATACAAAAAATATTTAATACACTTGGGATGTTCTGGAAAGTACTGGTTTGGCACAGTATCATATTCTAGTCTGGTTTTGCTTGCAGTAAAGCATTATTCAGAAGACTCATTTCAGATTCAGGTGGTTCTGTTCCACACACTGCATGCAAATGTAGCAGGATTCAAGTATTTTGCTTTTATAGGCCCAACCTTACACACATGGCTGCAAGCACCCACTTTTACCTATTGTAATTGTAT